TTAACCGATATTAAGGTGACATCACATATCTCCTGTCAGGGACATTATACCTGCTTTTTGATACCCCACTGGATGCATTCAAACTTTTTCTGTGCAAAAATAATAAAAACATTTAACTGAAGTTAGGGGAAAAAGTGCCATTTATTTTTAACATTTGTGAGCCATCATATCGAAATGCGGATCAAGTCAAATTTGGTCAAAATGACCTAATTACATCTTAACTTGGCTTTAAAAGCTACATTTTGTTACCTGGATTATTCTGATGTCATAATTAAATCCATATATGTGACTTAATTTGTCTTGTTGGTTACAATAATACATAAATATTTGGTCTGAATCCTAATTTTATGTCATTTTAATGAGGAATTTTGATGTCCTTATAAAGAGGAAACCTCAAATTATATTTGAATATTGAGATTTTCCAGCTAAAAAGAAACAAAATTTTACTAACTCACAGGAAAAATCTCCAAATTTTAAGGTGTTTTTCCTCAAAATCAGTTTTTTTTTGTTGCTACTGCTCGAAAAAGCGCTTCAAATTTTGTTTTATGATTATATTTCAGACAGTTCATTCAAATGATACATTAATAAGGCTTTTATTCGTTATATTCCTAACCCCTCATGTCACACAGTGTGTGTCTGCACCACCCAACCCTCAGAACATGAACCCCCAGTGTTCACGTGGACCCGGCCCCTCCCCAAATACCTTCCATTCTGGTCTGACTGACCAACAGCACTCCATCCTCCCCGCCACACAGGGTGGAAGGAGAATGTGTGCGAGGAGGAGTGTGTGAAGGATCCAAACTGATCAGGAGATGAAGCTTTTTTCTCTGAAGAACCTCCTTGTTTTTCTCTGTGTATGAGAGTCAACAATCAGCCGACAGGTGAGGAGACCAACTCTTACATTTTAAACTACTTGTGTTAAAATATATAACGCCACATGTTTGGAAAGGCTGGAGACGATTTGAAGTTGTTTGAGTAGAAATGAAATGCAGCACATGACAGGAAGAAAAGGTAGAACCTAAAGAGTTTGATTTAAAACTTTTTAAAATAAATAAAATGATGAGAATCATCTTTCATTACAGCTTGATTTTTTTGTGACGTATTGAAATATTTCAACATAAACAGCCCCTAAACTCACCATTAATATATTTACACACAATAAATCAGCTGAAGAAACTGACCCACATTTACATCCTGTTTTCACTTGTTTCTCTTACTTTATGACACGGAAAAAAACACAACAAAGGGGGGAAAAGCCTTTTTTGCAAAAAAAAAAAAAAGATAATTAGACAAATAAAGGTTGAATCAGAAAGGGACAGAGCTTTAAAATAATCTAAATATGAACATGTCAGCTTCATTTTTATTTAAATGTTTTTGACTCGTCTTTTAAAAATCATTCTGTTGATGAGAAAATACTATTTTGTGTTTGTCAATCTGTGTTATATTTGGTAATTTTTGTCTATAAAACAGCTCTGGCTCATCCTTAAAGGTCAGATGTTTTTATGCCTCATTGGGTCAAAGGTCAACGGTTTAATAAACAAACATTTAAAAAAATAAACAACTAAAGACTGGATTGTGTCAGGGAAATGAAAGCGAGCCCAAACACAGAATCATAAAACTCTGATTTCTGAATATTTAAAGAATATTTATTTTCTGACAGGAATGGACCCCCCTGGTGGTCCATACCTCAACAGGAGTGCCCTGTGCTCGGCTCTGGGCACGGCCCGCCTCTGTCAGCTGGCCATGGGATGTGCTGTGATTGCCATGGTAGCCCACAGCGCCGGGTACAGCGGGGCGCACGGGGTGTTCTGCATGGCGGCGTGGTGCTGCTGCTTCGCCGTGACGGTGGTGGTGTTTTTCCTGGATGCCACCCGCCTCCACAGCTGCCTGCGTGTGTCCTGGGACAACCTGACGGTCACATGCGCGGCCTGTGCCACGCTCATGTAAGTCCTCGGGCAGGGCCGGTGCTAGCCCAGCCGGTGCCCTTGGCAAAATTTCAGGTGGCCCCCATTCTGCAATTTCCTGAATCTCATGTCAATTTACAAACATTCACATAACAAATAGTTTTGTCTTTGATATTTTTTATCTTCAGAAATCAGGTTGTTCATAAAGAATATTTAACAATATAATTCATATGCAACAGAATACCAGAAGTCTCCATCATACAGCGGGTAAAATACAGTGGTTTGCAAAAGTATTCATACCCCTTGAACTTTTCCATATTTTGTCACATTACAACCACAAACATAAATATATTTCACTGGA